ATCCCGTCCCCCCCCCAAAAAAAAGACAAGAAGGAAAAAAAATCAGCAAAAAACAGTTAATACATTGAAAAAAAAGCTGACAACATACGCTGTGGATGGGTTCCAGGGTGTCTGTGAAATTGAACGGGAAAAAAATTATATCTTTATTTTTACTAACATTTGGTTTCCTTTGTAATTCTATTATTTCATTTTATGCATTTAAAAATATTATTCCAAGAGGGGGTTCAGACTGCCAGGGTGGGGGGCATACCAGAAAAAAGATGAAGAACTCTTGCTCTAGACAGACACAGAAACAGAAGCACAAGGCTGGAAATCCATTTAAGAAGCCAGGCCTCTGGCAGCAGGAAATGAGCTAACTGTGGATTCAACAGAGAAGTAGGCCTTACTGCTGAGAGTGGGCTATAGAGAGGAGCAAACACAGGGAGGGCAATCCAAAAGGCTAACCCAGGAGACGGTGGATGGTTCCACGAAAAGAAGAGTGACATCAAGGCCCTGTTAACACTGGAGGGGAGTGAGTTGCTTTGGTTACATGGGTCCCTACATGTGTCTCACTGCCATGGCAGTCCAAGTCAGTGCCTTCTTTCATGCACGAATGGTGCATATCTGTGGGACAGTGTGCTCCAGGTTTATGAGGAGAATGTTTTATAGCTACTCTTCTACTATGACATCTTAGTACAGGCCTTCACTTTGATTTATTTGTGTCTGTTGCCTGAATATTAAAGATAAGTCTACTGGTAAGGACTGTACTTTTAGTAGTGAGTTTCTACAGACTACCTTTTGACCTTTGAGAGAGTTGAGAGTTACTCTCCCTCCCCCTTAGCCTACAGACATGTGAGTGCCAGGTTGGAGAAGTAGCCCCAAAGGGAGACCTACACTGATAGTCATTTTGTATGTATTATGTATATACATATTTGTATGTATATATGCACATGTCAATAAATGCAAACACCTTGAGGGCAAAGACTTTTTCACTTTTTAATCTTTATATGTCCAGTACCTCAGCACAGTACCTAGCACATAGCAAGCACTTTATACATTTCTTTTTGAAAAGACCTCAACACACACTTATAATTTTATCATTATTATAACATAACTGAGGTGTCAGTGCTGTATGCTTCTCCATCATTGCCTCTGTGCTCATCGTTTACTAACATAGACTGGAAAGAACCTTTAGAAATCATTTAGTTCGTCTCCCTCATTTTACAAATGAGACAATTGAGGCCCAGAAAAGCAAATTGATTTTATTCAGGGTTATACAACTATTAAGTGGTGAAGTGACCTAGAACCCAATACTTTTTACTCTTGATTTAATGCTCTTTCCACTATTTTCATAACTTATCCTTTTAGGAGTAGCTCTGAATGTTGTCTTTCTCTTTGGTTTCATCACTTAGAGTACTTCTGGTGAGGAAATGTCCTCTATCAATGCAGAACTCATCATTTAAGAGAGCTCCCTGGGGCACTGAGGTTGTGGGCTGCTCAGCATCACATGGCTATTACCGATTATGTCAAGAGGCTCATGCTGAATTTAGGTCTTCCAGACTCTGAGGATAGTCCTCTTTTTCCACTCTATGATTCTGCCTTTCATTGTTAAACTTTTTCTGGGGGAAGGACTTTTAAAAAATTTTTTTAAATGTTCTGAGCAAAGGATTTTATCAAGGATTTCAGAAAAGAATTAGGGTTACTTACAGATCAAGGATAAGAGAGAACAGAAAGAAAATCTGAGTGGCATATTTTTACCCCTGATATACTAAAAGAACATTAAGTTGAATAGATCCTCTATGGAAGAATTATAATGGACAAGAATTGCACAGGACCAGAAGGCTGGAAATGATTCTGATTGCCTTGTTAGAGCGTCTATCTACATTGAAATCCTTCAGAGTATCCAAAAGTGATCTGATAATTAATGATATCAATCATAGGTGTTGCAAGCATATTGTTATTAGCACTAAAAACATTTTCTCTTGTTTTCTTAGGACAGTTTGTTCTGTGTCGTAGCTGCATTTGGCTGTTTCTACTATTGATCCTTTGAAGAGCAGGGTAAAGAAATATGATCAAAAAGAAATGATGAAATTTTTCTTTGCTTTATGTAATAAGTTTTTAATTCAACAAACAAGCATTTGTACATGTCTTATTAAAATAAAGATTGGTTGATAGTTTGGCAACTATCAGACCTACCCTGTTTAGGCCTTATATTTTTAATTTTTGGTTTATTTGTACTTCTAAAATTTCTATTCATTGTGCCCTTGGAATTGACACAGGTTTTGAATAAAACAGAACCTTAGCTGTCCCAAATCTGTACTTTATTGGTGTGCACATTTCTAATTCAGTCAAACTGGCAAGACTGAGTTGTCTGAATCCATTAGCTTTTTTCATAGGATCAAATGGTTCTTAGCATAGTGGATATTCAGTAAATATTAAATGATGTTGATGATAGCATCTTTTTCAGCCAAACTTGTAAGTGTGGTGAAATGGAAAAAGCACAGAACAAGGAGTCAGAACAGCTAAGGTTTTGCCCTGGCTTTGTCACTAGCTGTCTAACCCTAGGCATGTATCTTCATTTCTCAGGGTCTACATTTCCTTATCAGGGTTAGCAGACTTATAAGGTGTTTTTCCCAGGTCTAATATTCTAGGATTTTCTTTTGTCTCTTTCTTCTTCCTTTTTTTTTTTAAATTTTAACTTGGGCATTTTTTTCCTCCAATCTAAAAGTTGTACTTGTCCCTGTTAAACTTTATCCTGTCTGTTATATTACATTTGGTATAAATGCTTGATATGACCTTGACAAGGCTAGTAAATGGACTGGAAACAAAGTCTTGTGTGTATTTTCTTAATTTTTTTTCAGTGTCACAATGCTCACTTCCCTTAAGTTTTGCTTCAAGAGTTGAGAAATCATTGGGTCTCCACCCCTATGTTGCTTAGTCTCTTGAGTTCTGCTGCTATATTGACACAGTAGTACTTGCTGTGATTATACCAGGCTAAAGCTTGGTAAATTTTGCTGTGGCTATGAGGAATAACAGAACCTTCGAGCATCTGAGCCAGCTGATTATTTTGTGAATAAATACCCTATCCAACTGTGTTACCAATGATGACATTGCCACACACTTTGTTATTTAGTCTGATGCTTCTTTGAGTTCTTGGCCAAGAGGTGAAAAACAGTTTGCTGGAATCAATCTCAAGGCACTATTCTTCCCTACTTATGTCATTTAAATTTCAGAAATTACTGAATGTTTCAACAGGCCAACTTATTCTTTAACTTCAAGACATCTCCTATTCAAATATCTGTGGTTTTTCCAGTCCTTCTGGGTCTTTATGTATGCAAAAAAGCCCAGCTTTAACTAAATCCAATTTACATGACTACATTTTGCATAAAGATGAAAAGTACTAATCCCAGAAGCTTGTAAGAAAGACTTCACAGTGAAATGAACTCCCAAAATATTTTTTATCATAACTGTATGTGTATATATACTTCACATTATGAGCCAGTGTCTCTTAAAATGAAACAACAGGACACGTAGAAAAAAATGACCTTGGACTTGAGGTCTTTTTGGTCAGATTTGGAATAAAGAGTAGCTTATACACCCCTATTCCAGGGACACTGGATGTTAAGGTGAATTATTGTGTGGAAATGCACATGGAGTTCATCATCTATTAATGACAATGACACAAGGTTTGACTCTTCATTTGTGTTTGACATCTGATATTTGAATTAGTTTTCTTGGTTGTTGTTTCCTATTCTAAATAAGGCACATTCAGAAAAGAGGTCATAAATTATTAATACAGTATACCAATATGACATTTTAATCACACACAGCTGCAGTGTAACTGATCGGAGCTTTTAATCGATTTGCTTAATGAGGAAAAAACCTGTCTAGCTTTAGTTTTCTGCTTAATTCCTTTCTCTCTTTTTCCTCTCTTTACTTCAACAAACATTAATTAAGCACCTACTGGGATATGGGGTCTCCAAAGACCCCCAACAAAACACATCTGCACTCAAGGAACTTAGATTTTGCTTTCATTCTACTTTTTCCGACAAAGAGCATATAGTGTGAGTAGGTTAGGTAAAAAGAAAAACAGACCATAAAAACGGTTTTTACATGTAACTGGGGAAAAATGCAATATTAAATAAAAGCTTAAAAGATTGAAAAGAAAAGGTGAAGGAACAGGAAGGCAAAGGTGATAGATAGCCCCAGGGTAAAATTGCTTCCTAAGTTGGCTAGTAAGAAGAAAACTCAGTAGGTATAAAAATAGCAAAATGGCTTTTGTAGTATGCCACTTGGTTGAGCATCTGCTCTATATTTTCCCTTGGCCACTCTCTCTAATGTCACTTATAGGAGTAGATGCAATTGGCATAGGCCCTGGTGTAGAAGTAGTTTTAATATTTGCTGCCTGCTTTCTGGAAGACTGGAATACCACAGAAATTGGCCTGATGAGCCCTACCTTCTGGATCTTTTCCTACTTTCTCCATCCCCATTCTACTTTCAGCTTGACCCAGCAGAGGCTTAGGACATTTAAAGAGAAAGGACTAGAGGTCCAACGGCCTCTGTGCATTTGGAGACTTTTTTAGTGACTATGATTTTTCAAAGTTTGGGGACATTTTGTACTTGAAATTTAGAGCCTACATGATGCCTCTTATTGTACCCTTTCTCGATTTTTGCTTTTTTTTCCCCCTGATCAGATGTTATAAGCCCCTTTACTTATCCTGTGTTCCAGTTCTCATGATTTAAGATGAGAAAGTAATATTGGAACCCCAAAGCAAAATACGTTAAATGCTTACGAATTCAATCCAATTTTCATACAAATAGATAACTGATGTTTGGTCTGCAGCCTTTTCCCAGGCTGTAATCTCATATATTAAAAAATAATGACGTATTACTTCTAAGGGTCGAGTGGGTGTTTAATACTAGACACAATGATCAATAAGCCTTTCCTCAATTTATTTCCACATTTAATAAGTGCAAAGCATGACACTAGGCTACACACACAGTTAAGACTACTGTTTTACCTGGGTGCAACTCTGCACCTTTTTAATCTTCAGGAATTGCTGGTGTTTTGCATATCGCTTCGCTTAAGTCGGTGGATGGAATAGCCGCTTATGGAGCTGGAAACTTGCTCAATTCCTTCGGCGCCCAAGCGACCTTCGAGATGGGGTGAGAGGCTTGCTACTTACTTAGCCCGCTTCTTTGGGTGTCTTGTTCACCGTTCGTCCCCTTGCCCACCTCTCCTCTTGAGCCCCCAGCAATGCTCCTTAGAGTTTGTATTCTGTGAAAATCCCTTTGCCTAAACATCTAACGCCCGGCGATGCCGCCCGCAGGTTCCTCTCCCTTTACATCATAAAAGGCATCAGAATCGGGGCCGAGAGATCTGGGATCCAACCCGGCTGCAAAGTGAACCACGACCACCCCGTAGCGGCCTGGCCTGGGCTTTGGGCGGCTGCTCTGGAGAGCCCCACGCCCCGCAGGTCCTTCTCCCATCGACCGCCGGCCTCTGGGTGCTCAGGCAGAAACAAGGCTCCTCCCTAAGCGTCGCAGTGGGCAGATACGCGTGTCCGCTGGGCTTCTGAGCGAAGGCTCCCGGAGCCGCCTGGCCGGCGGGCTGGCACTCGGCAGACTCTCCTTTCCCTCCACGTCGCCTTTGCGGCCGGTGCTCCTCCCTGCCTACTTCCCCGTTCCCTACCCAGCTCCGTCTCCCGCTGGCCCCGCTGCGGATGCGGAACCTTGGTAACTGGCCTGGAAATTCCTGGTGGGAAGCCCTGGGGGGGTGGACTCCCTAAGGGGAGGGGAGTTGCAAGGAGCTTCCGGTTTGGCGTCAGCTGCCTTCCCGCGGTCCTCTTCCCTTACTGCTGCGCCGGTGACGCGGCGCTTGAGGGAGCTCGCGAGGCCGAGGGGAGAGCGAGCGGCGCGGGCACACGCAGGCAGGCAGACGAGGGCAGCGGGCGGCGTAGGTAGGCAGCCCGGCCCGGGGGGGTAACGGGGGTGCCGAGGGCTGGGGGCCTGGGGCCGGACTGAGGAGGGGGCGGCTCGGCGGGGCGGGGACGACGGGGGTGGAGTGGGAAAGCCTCGGGGGGTCGCGGGTCCGAGGCGCGGCGCTGGGGCGGGGCGGTGTCTTGGAAGAACTGGGGAGTCGGGCAGTGCAGGTTCTGGACTGCTCTGCAGGGAACGAGCTGTTTGATCTTTGTCTGGTCACTTCACCTCCTTGGGTCCGTGACATGAAGGGGCTGACAGCGGGGGCGGGGCGGAGGGGTCCTTAGACTAGGGGCTCTCTCCCGGTGCCTCTGGAATCTGGGGGTGCAGGAGGGCCTAGGTGTGCTGGCAATTGATTGGGCGTGGGGGGCTGGCTTGGGGACCCTGGGTTGCGGTTGGGGACGTAATTTGGGCTGGTTATTGACAGTGGCAGTAGCGAGGCAGACGTCAGGCTGGGGAGGTCGTGGAAACCCGCCGGAGAAAGTGGCCGAGGAGGGAGGGGTGGCCACGGCCCACGGGATGGGGCGTGGGGTGGAGCTGTCTGCGGGGGGCACTGCGAGGGGTGGGGGAGAATTGCTAGTTAGAGAATCCTGCAGGGCGGATATGAAGCACTCACTGTGTGGGGAGTATTGTTAGAGCCACCGACAAGATGCAGAGTTTGGAGTTAGACAGTATTCCTGCTATCCAGGTGCTGGTTGACCCAGAAGAGCTATGTATGATAGACACCACCCGGTTGTTAGTGTGTGGAAAGGAACAGTGACAATACCTTAAATTTGTGTAACACTTTTAAATTTGCAAATTCTAATGTATAGTGGCCCATCGTGGGGAATAAAACTCAGGGCAGAGCCGTGATCTGCGGTGAGTGGCAGTGACCAGAATATAATTAAGGGACACAGCCGTTTGAGTAATTTATTGGCTGGGGGGGGGGGGCAGATCAGTCCAGCCCAAGCGGTGTTTTCCATGAGACAGGTCTATGGGTAATCTGGATACTATTTTAGCTCCTGGTTTTATTTTCTAGTTATTTCAGTTTTGACCAGCTCTATTAATCATGCCGATAAAATGAGTTAATTTTGAGTTAGAGTCAATTTCCTTTTACCTTCATTTGCACATCTGCACATCCTTGCAGAAGCTGCTGCTGCTGATTAATAATAGCCAGTGCCTCCTGTCATGAGAAGATTGGCCAGGGGGATGCATTTTAAGTTGTCAAACACTATGTTGAGGTTGATGTCTCAATAATTATCCTCTCCATCTAAGTGTAATTGAATGCTCTCAACTCCTCTGGTTTTGAATGTGGGCAGAATAGTGCTGAGGGGCATTAAGTTAAAGACAGGTGTGAAGGTAACAATTTTTTTTTCATATTTGTGTTGAGATGATTGTACCTGTTTTGTCCCATGCTTCTTTAAAATTTCTTTTTGTAAACATGATAACCCAGACATTAGTAGAGTCAAGCTTTGCCTCAAGCTATAGATTTCCCCTCTGTCCATCTGATTTACAGATCTTTATTTTTTGCTGAGAATTTCCTTTTCCTCAATGCAGTTATTTAAGGGAAATTTATCATGTCAAATAGAGTTTTGGAGTCAGCAGGCATTGATTGACTCACTGTGTATCCATAGGAAAGATCTGTCTCCAGGTCAAATTTTCTCTCAATGGAATAGTAATAAGACATCTTGGACAGTGCAAGAGTTAATGAGAATTTGCACACATATATGTACATGGTACTTTTTGAAGAAATAAGCTTGGTAGTGCTATTAAGATAACTAATAAAAAATGTCTTTCGGCAGTAATAAGTTGTTTTAAAAAAATTAGTAGTAGTAGCACATTTTTCCTTAAGTATTTTCTATCCATTATCTTCATTTTGGAAATCATAGAATCATAGATTGTTAAAACTGGAGAGGATCTCCCCAGATCATTTAGTCCAGTCTTTTTATTTTTCAGATGAGGAAACTGAGACAGAAAAGTTTAAATAACTTGCTCAAGATTATACAGCTGTTTAGTGACAGATTCAGGTCTGCCAATTCCAGAACTAGTCTTCTTTCCACTCACTGTTGCCGTTGAGGTGGCAAGTTTTATCACACCAGTTTTATAGATAGGAAAACTGAAAGCAAAATTGTTAGCCAGAATTTCATATCAGATTAGTTGCAGTACTGAACCTCTTACTTTCCACATAGGCTAACTAGTTACTTTCAGAATTAGTCAGAACAAATTTATCTAGTTTTTCCTTTCCCCGTTGGGTCAAGGAGCTTTTATTACTCTATTTATTTATTTATTTATTTATTTGTTTAGTTTGTTTTTTAGGCCATTGGGGTTAAGTAACTTGCCCAGGATCACACAGGTAGTAAGTGTCAAGTGTTTGATCTAATGTCGGATTTGAACTCAGGTCCTCCTGACTTCAGGGTGGGTGCTCTATCCACTGAACCACCTGGCTGCCTCAGCTTTTATTACTTTAAAAAAAGAGAAACAAAAACAACTTTTATTATGAACTTTAAAACTAGTATAAAATTCATAAACACTTAAAACTTTACATTTTTTTAAAATGAATTTTGACAAGCCAGCAACTATAACTACTAACTTGTCAGTTAATCCTTTTATGTCCATTTCTGCTTTTTGTCCACTTTTTACTCCTATATAACCCTTTTATATAGTTGAAATCAGTGAAAAGAGTATTTTCATATTGCTCATTTCATTTCACACTATTTCATTATTTTCCTATTTTTATATATCATTTTGATCATTCTTAATTGTGTTGATATTCTGTTACATTGCTATGTCATGCTTAAAAATAGTTTTATGCCATGGTCTCTCTCTCTTTCTGAGGAGGGAATGTTTTTGTTTTGTTTTGTTTTGTTTTGTTTTTAACAATAGTCTTCACCTTCTTTCAGACTTCAGTTAGAGAATCTTGTTCTCACAGTTCTTTCCTACTTTCTTGGACTGGAGGGGGGAGTTCCTTTTTTAAAAAATGTACATCTATTTTTATTGGTGTTTTTTATTTTTACATTGCCTGCATTTCCCCCTTATCCCTTCCCAGAGTATCAGTCCTTATAACAGACTTATTGAAACAAAGAAAAAAGGAAGAATAAAATTCAGCAAAACCGATCAGCACATCCCAAATTAAGAACTCAAATCTTGATGTTATATGCAATGTGTATTGTATTTATTTTTGAGACTGGGTCTCCCTGAATCACCTAGACTGAAAGTATGGTGGCCACTCCAGGGTCCACTATTGATCTGCTTACTTTCAGACAAGAGTTGATTAGCTCCTCCTTAAACAATCTGGTGTCCTGTCACCTCCTCAAATACATACATTTAGCCAACTGAAGTTTAGGATTGAAGATGTCTCAGCTTTCCCCTCCCAGCAGCAGGGATTACAAACCTGCATTTAACACTCCTGGGATACCACCCTACCCATGAGGGGAGGTATCTTTCTCTGGGGCCAAACTTGTTCTTTATAATCTTGCAGCATTCAGCTATTCTTTCCATTTACATTGTTGTCATTGTGTATATTATTTTCCTGGCTCTTCATTTTGCATCAGTTCATAGTAAATCTTTCTCTGCTTCTCTGTACATTTTCATCATTTGAGTTGTTTCTTACAGCACAGTGATACTCTGTTACATTCATGTTACCACAGTTTGTTGAGTGGTTCCTCAGTCAGTGGACATCTGCTTTGTTTTCAATTCTCTGCTACCACAAAAAGTGAAGCTATGCAATTTTGGTGTATAGGGAACCTTTCCGTCATTTACCTCCTTTAGTTGAATTTCTTCCTAAGCAGAGGAATCTCTGGGTCAGAGGGTATTGAATTTCAGCCACTTTATTTTCATAATTCCAAATTGTGTTCTAGAGTGGTTGTACAAATTCACAGCTCCACCAACAGTACATTAATGTTCTGTCTTTCCACAGCCCCTCCAATATTGACTATTCCTATCTTTTGTCATCTTGCTAACTTACCGATTATAAAGTGAAAATTCAGGATTGATTTGCATTTCTCTTTATTGTTAGTTATTTAAATCATTCTTTCATATAATTATTTACAGTTTGCAATTCTTCATTTGATAATTGTTTGTTCTGTTGGACCAGTAGTTTGCCTATTAGTGAATGGTTTTTGTTCTTATATACTTCTGTTGTCTCTGTGTCCTGGATATCAAACTCTTATTAGAGATCTTAGATACAAAAATTATTTCCCCAATTCATGCTTCCCTTATCCAGGATTCATTAATTTTATTTGTGCAGAAGCTTTGTAATTTCATGTAATCAATTATCTAAGTCTTTTGCTATTGGCTTAACTATCCCTTTTTGATTAAAAATTCATATCCTACCCATAATTGTGAAAGTTAATCTTTCTCTTATAATTTTTTTATAATATGATCTTTAATATTTAGATAATGTATCCATTTTGAATTTATTGCAGAATATGGTGTAAGGTGTTAGTCTAATTCTAATTTTTACCTGAAGGGAATTCCTTTTCTGATGAAGATCCTGACTGTGTCTATATCTGTCAGACATACTGGAAAAGCATCATGATCTAGTGAAGACATAATGGATCTTGGTTCTTGTCTCATTTTATAGATCTTATTGTTAGACAGGACTTTAGAAAATATCTTTAATCATCCAGGGCAGCTAGGTGGCACAGTAGATAGAGCACCGACCCTGGAGTCAGGAGGACCTTAGTTCAGATCTTCTCTCAGACACTGGACACTTACTTGACACATAGTTGTGTGACCCTGGGCAAGTCACTTAACTCCATTGCTTAACCAAATCAAAAAAAATCTAATCATCCACCACATTCTACCATTCATTTGTTTGTCACCTTATGCAAGACTTTGAATCTGTTTTGTAAACTTAAACTGGTCATAAAACTCTGTTTCTTGACCTCTCCAGTTTCTCTGACATTTAAACATTGATTTTTCCCTCTATTTCATAAATAAAAGTTTGATCATTATTTGCTACAATCACTTTTTAATTACTTAATGGATGATTTGTGGCAAA